TTTCTTAAAAAATCTTAATGAAATGAGATGAAAAAAAAATATTAATTTTAGATAAGTAGCTTAAAAAAACATTTGCAATAAACTTTTTATGATTATGTAATTTTTATGTACCATTTAGGGAGAACTAGAATTTAGTTAATTTTAATAATAACTATCATATTACCGAATAGTTAACAAACTATGATTACACATAATTAATATAATATATAATTATCATAACATAATTAATTGAAACAATAAGCAAATTTTAGATTTCATGTTCTTTTGTTGTAAGCACTAAAAAAAAATAAAAAATCAAATAAAGCAGAATTTATTGACGAGACAGACACAATATGACTCTTTTTGTGTTCTGTCGTGTTCGATTTCATCTAAAAGTAACATGACTCGGGTTTTTTCATGTTATGTTGTATCCGTGTTCTGTTATTTAAATTTACTAATACTTCCATTTAATTTGTTAATGTTTTGTCCACTTGAACATGCACAAAACTAGTCCCACATGTATAGGGGTGACATTTTTTGTCCCAACGAAATGCAAAAAATATAAATAGTCCCAAAACTTTTAAAAAACGATCAAAAGTAGGACTTTTTGTCGGATTTTACTGTTTTCAGCCTGGAATGCCACGTGGCGCACACGTGGCATATATTTTTTATACGCCGGCATCCGACGTGGATATGAAAAAAAATCAAAACTAGTCCCACAGATATAGGGAGGTGACATTTTTGGTCCCACAATTATAGGAATGTGACATTTTTTATCCCACAAGTATGCATAAAATATGCAACAAAATATGCCACATGTGCGCCACGTGGCATTCCGGGCTGGAAACAGTAGTATCCGGCAAAAAGTCCTACTTTTGATCATTTTTTTAAAGTTGTGGGACTATTTATTTTCTTTGCATTCCGTTGGGACCAAAATTGTCACCCCCTATACTTGTGGGACTAGTTTTGAATTTTTCCCATGAAACTAGTTTTGAATATTAATAATTATTAGCTAGTATATTTATTTCTTGGTATGCAAGATAGGAAAAGAAGTACGGTTATGACTCTTAGGATATATTTCTCTTCTCGTTCGTCCAGGACGATCAGATTGCAATAAACACAAATAATTTTGAGATCTTGTTCTTTGAAGTTCCCGTTTATACGTTGCGTTGCGTCAGTTGGTATCCAAATATTGAGACGATTCCAGATGCCGCCACGTAGAGAGACTGCAGAAGACAGGGGCGACACCGCCATCGAATCGTTGAATCGCCAAGTCGAAGGATTTCGCCGACAATTTCAAACGATGGGTTGCGAGGTAGCCGATATTTCTGCGGGAATGGAAGATATTCATCTGTTTGTTATAGTATGGTGTTTTTTTTTGTTTTATGTGCCTTAGTCGAGTCATTTTTAGGTTCGTTTTTAGTATCAACTGGTCTTTTTTGTCGTGCTTTATGTATTTTCGTTTTCGTCTTGTGTTTTTGCATTTCGACGTATTTTCTTGTCTCTTTTGGTGTTGGTTGATCGTTTATGCACATTTGGGAAGACAAGTCGTTGTCCGAGCCATTGTCCATATTTTCGATGTTCAGCCATTCTGAGACAAGCCACCCAAACTACCATTTGAGCCATTCCGAGATAAGTTAGTCGAGCTATTTGATTGAGCCGCCCGAGCTACCGAGAGAAAAAGAGAGTTATTCTGAGATCATTCTGGGCCATTGCCATGATGCGGGCACTCTCTGCGAAATCCACTTCGCAAACGCTCGAGAAAGCCATTAGAGGAAATGGGCACTCGCTGCGAAATTCACTTCGCGAGCACGTGAGTCGGGCCGAAGATAGCTGCGCACTCGCAGCGATTCTCACCTCGCAAGCGCCCGAGAGTCGCCAAGTCCTACACTCGCCAGCGAAACAGCCACGCGCCCACATCCACACTCGCTGTGAGATTCATTTCGCAAGCTCCCGAAGATCTGCGCCCAACATCCACACTCGCCGCGAGATTCATTTCACGAGCGCCCGAAGAACTGCGTCTATCACCTGTGCACTCGCTGCGAGATCTACCTCGCGAGTGCGAGAGTCAAAGCCAGCTTAGCGTCGCACAAGTAGCAAGACTCGCGACCGTGCGAGTTGGCCTGCTACCGCCTGACACACCCCAGCACTCGCAACGAACGACATCTCGTGACCGAGCGAGAGCCTGTGAGCGCTCAACACACCCAGTACTCAGGGACGGATCTACCTTACTCTTAGGGGGGGCCATTGTCCCCCAACCTTTTTATTTTGCTTAAGATATATGTAATGCATATTTTTTTCTAAGACTTCTAATTTTTTTATTATATATGCATACATACATATATTATAGATTAAACATTTATAAAACATATTCAGTCTATACTCATTCCCATAGTTATTACAAATTATTGTATCACTCTATTTACTAATTAAATTTAACTACATCATATTTTGTAAGTACCATTTCAACAATGTTTTGTAATATTTTTGTGTTTGATCTTACGCATAATTAAAGAAGTAAAGAGTAAATTTGGAATAGAAGAACATGCAACATATGCAATTCAAAAAGATTTGCTAGAACTATTAATTAGACATTAAGCCTTCTCTTGCCTACTTAATAGTTAGACAACTACAATAATCCAAGAATTATATTTATACTTTTCATACTTATATCTCATACTTTATAATGCAGTACAAATATAAAGTATGGCATTTCATAGTATAACAATGCATATTCTAGTAGGAAAATATATTTGTCTAACAATTAGACAGCCTACCAATTATAGAATTTGTGTTAATATGGAACCAACCATCAATGAATAACTGAGTTTCGTGAGTGTAAGAACGTTGAACATTTAAACTGCTGAAATTAAGAAGTTATGTATTTTGTAGTGCAACACATTAATTATTTTATCCATTTTAAAATGCAATTTTACGCCTACATATATGTCCGTGTGAGAGAAATACTATAAATTATATAGTTCCCCTCGAATTGTTATCCGTACCGAGTAAAGTTGAATACCTCATGTTTAATCTTGTGATAGTTTAATAAATGATCAGCTCGACAATCTAATAAATAAATAAAAAATATGAGGTCAAACTTGACTTGTGTAAGCTTTAATCTACCCGATTTGTCTAATAAAAAAGTTTGAATAGTCATTCTAGCTCGACAAATTAAATTTCATGAGTTGAATAAACACAATCCTATTCCAATTAACTCTTTTGGCCCCTCCCAAATTTTTTTCCTAGATCCGCCCCTGCCAGTACTTGCCGCTAACGACATCTCGTGACCGAGTGAGAGCCTGTGAATGCCCAAGATAGCATACACTCACAGCAAATGAGTGTTCCCGACCGTGCCACTACCGACCCGAGACAACCTACACACTCCACACTCGCAGCGAAAGGAGTTTCGAGACCTGGCGACCTGAGGTCCTTGGGTCAGACCACGACCTCCTAACTCCCTACACTCGCAGTTTGTGTTAAAATGAATAATGAATGTGGGTGTATGTTTTTTTTTTGTACAAAGAAGGGCCACAGGCCTAGGCTAGTACTTGTCGGGGGTATGACACCCCAATATTACCATACTCGATCCATGCTCCTAAACCCACGGGTGGGGCGAATGTGGGTGTATGTTCAAATGGAGATGTTTTATTGAAAAGATGATGTGGATGAAAGAGAATGTAAATTGTGATTGAATGAATGTTAAGGGATGTGGATGCCCTAAGTCACATATATACAACAAATAAATTTATAAATTCTTGATATACATATATATATATATATATCAATAAAATAATCAGAACCCACATGAAGACATTTGACCCATGCATTGAATTTCCCCAACTGCTGTCTGCACTCTAAGTAAATTCCCTTCAGCCAGCGTCTTTAAAAGGGACTGACTGCTCAATCAACTAACATTGCACCAAATCTCCATAAAGAAAGAAAAGAAGGCTAAAAAAAAATATTCACATTAGAGAGAGAAAATGGCTCGGCTGGCTTTGGCTTTTGTGGCTCTTATCGGGGCCCATCAGGTGGCGGCCAGGGCATTGACCGGCGACGCTGGCCTTTCCGACCAGAAGAACTACACTGACGGGCCAACGGCGGCATTCCGTTCGGCGGCGTTGGTGCCAGTGTTGGCGGAGGCGGCGAATTTGGTTGGGTGAATAGTTTTGGCGGCATTGGAGGTGGTGTTTGGACTCTGCCGGCCGGTGGTCATGTAGCGCTGGCGGCATCGGGAACCTCGGTGGCCTTGGTGGAGGCGGAGCTGGTGCCGGAGCTCTTCCGTACCCTTGAAATTGAGCTGGTGCTTCGACTTTTCTAGGGCGTTATTGTTATTTCCCGTTTGTACGTCTGAATGTTTTTTTTTT